AATTGAAATAATTTAGTGCAATATGGTCAGGAGAGGTCTTAAACATGTTAACATAATGAGGTGTTAATTGGTGGAAAGATTACGTTGATATAAAACCAATTAGAGAGTGAAATTATCTGGAAGGGATGAAAAGGGATGATTTTGTTAATGGAGCAGTTTCTGCATAGCATTGCAGCAGCTTGCTTGATTAATGGGTTTTTGCACTTGACAAGCGAATTTCTAGGAGCGGCATTTACTTTGCTGTGTATGAAAAATGAGGTTGCACATGTGAAGTTTCAGGACACCTTACATATCCAGGTTTGTTTTCTATTAAGCGCAAGATATTTTAACAAATTACTGTTTCTACACTGAATAAAAAACATTTTCACAGGAATATTTGAATCGGGAGATACGCAGCGGGAAATGTATATGTGACATATCCAAGATATCAATTCTATATTCCGATGTTTTCAAGTATAATATTTTTAAGATACGATCTGATATGTCTTGCGGAAATAAATACTAGGAAGTAATCGTTTAGTTCATTGAATTATGGGAGTAGTGAAGTCAATGATTAAATGAATAAGAGCAAATGTTTTTAATTTGAACAGATCATTCATTAAATGACACTGAAGATTAACTTAAATAGATTGTCTATCTATATATTTTAATGCACGAGAGACATGTTATAATGTTGGTGAACTAATGATTATGATAATTTCACCTGTTCACATGCAGTTCCCATTATGATTGAAAACTGACCAGGAGTAATCTCTCTTCAAATTATTTACTCATTATGAACAGAAATTTAATATTTAAATCGCTTAGAAGGTGTAAATAAATGTCAATTTGACGTTCAATAAAAATACGTCAATAATTTACTGATTACTTGCACATTTGAAGAAGTAAAACTTACAGCAATCAATCGAGGATTTACATGTAAACTCAATTGCATTTGTTTTTCGCGGGAAAAACTTCTCTCATTGACGTCACAGATTTTTAAGCGGCTCATTATAATATTCATGAGCTGACTTTGTGGAAAGGTGAATACTGGCTATTATACAATTGAAGTTATCTACTGTTAAGTAGGTTTGATCATTCAGTTAAATGCCACGCCCACTTTGGATTATTTAGAGGGGGTGGGTCATAGAAAAAGAAACTTTAAAATATTTCTGATTGAGACTCAATCATCATTCCAATTTTAATGCATGCAGGACATATATACAGACCTTAAAACAATACTATTTTTGCAGCATATCTTGCAAACATAGGATTTCTTCATTAACGAGTCCCCAAAATAGACACATATTAGTATATTTTGACAATCAAATTATGGTTACATAGCAACCATCATACCTATAGTCACCAATTTTTTACCAATTATCAATGACATATATGTGCATATATTCTGAAAAAATTGTGGCTATTCATAATGTTTGTGTAAAGTTATTAATTATTTTCTATGTACCCCCTACTTTTATATATATATTTTTATAATTTTTTTATTTCAAAGAATAAGCATGTTAAAGCAATTGCAAAAAACAATTACAGTACAGTTACATGGTAAACATACATTTTCCATTTTACAAAACAGTATTGGTTAAAAGTTAGTCTTTAAGAGACGTTATACCATTGGCATTTTTTATTTAAAGGAAAAACTCATCAGTTTCATTAATTTGTTTAATTTTGCTTCCATGATTTTCCACTTATCGCCTCTGCCAACCTGTTTGTCCATAACAAAATATTCCTTCACATTACTTATAAAACCTTTAAATGTTGGTTTTAGCATAGAATATTTGCACAAATAAACATACCTTTTAAAAATACATAGCATATTATTTAAGATGATTGTCTTCTCATTTATACTCTCAGGTCCTATCAATACATTTTGTTTAGTACATAGCAATGTGAGCTCTAAAGGGAGCCATTGTTTAATGTCATTTAATAAGGCACTTACAATAGTACATTCATACAGAAGATGGCAAATTGTTTCAGGATTTGCTTTACAAAAAGTGCAAATGTTTGACTCTACGAGTCCACACATTTTTAGGTATGTATTAGTTGCTAAAAATCTATGAAGGACTTTGTAAGTGAAAGATGATAACTTAGGTTCATAGTTACTCAGTTTGTTAAGTTTATTTATCTTCTTCCAATCATTTTGATTGAGTGACAAATTTAGATCTTTATTCCATCCTTCTATATATTTTGAATTCTTTTCTAGGTTCTGAACAAATTCCCAGTATATTATTTTACTAATCTTTGACTGAGTAAGGAACTTTTGTACATGTGCTTTATTTCAGTGATTCTTTCCTAAACGCTGTAAAATTTTGCTTAATTATTGCCAAATTGTGGTGAGAATTACAAATTAGGATGTAAGTAAAATGGTCTCCAAAATTCTACCTCAATACCGCAATTTAAGCACTAGCCCATCACCTACAAGGCATTAAATATGGACGTATTTTAGGCTTTGTATAAAAAACCTCCTACCTCATACCCACCTTCCCACCTACGTGGATCATGATACAGTCATTGAAGGGTTCAATTTTAAAGATTATGAAATCTCAAAATATATAGTGCTGATACAAAATAATAAAGGGTGAGTTTTCAAACTAAACAGAGGGCTCCTACCGAAATGGATTTGCCTACATACCCCTGAGACTCTTATCTGATATGTAGAATGCACAAATAAAGCACGAGTTTTGCTATTATAGGTAAAAAGTTCTCTTAAATTTCGAAGTGATTTTACCTGTTAATTCTGTCCTTGGTCCGCCATTTTGCGGGAGTTACACTGACGCACAAACTCCATGAAACGAAAAGAAATCATAAAAAACATGACACACATCGTGCGCATGTGCCTTAAAGTTTAAACCAATCAGATTATTTGATTATTTTGCGCACATGATTTATTTGCTCCTGAGCACTTAATAACCATTAAAAGCTAACCACAATAAACAAACCTGACGGAGATTACCCAACCTAATTTTAGCGAAGTGCGTGACAAATGCATTATGCATACGCTGGTATGGAGCCTTGGAGACACTCATTTCGGTAAATATGATTTACGGTGTATGCTTTTCTGCAGTTTGTGGGAGTTTATCAATTAATTTATATTAGCACTGTAGCTCAAATTATTAACATTTCTACAATTCCGGCTTTATTTTATGACCAGACATATGACAGATCCATAAATAAAGGCATATGGATGCATTTTAATGTGTAATGACCCGAGGGCGAATAAATAACTAACGACCACGAGCATATTTCCAACAAGCTAGATAAAGAAGATGAAAGTGTGCTAAATTCGATGCCTCGAGTGAGAATCGAACCCAGCTAGGATGTAGTAGCAACTTACTATCAAAGGTCGTTACAAATGCATCTATAATTCATCATAAACTAAGATTTAATAAACTCACGCCTAATCATCGACAAGATACAGTCACGTGACAGTGGCAAAATATACTGTAGTACACTTTGGATGTACGATGTCACTATTTAACCGATTTGAAGCAAAGACAATGAGGTAGGTTTGATGTAGGTTTTAAAAAATAATCTAAGGAATGCATTAAGGATTTCATGTTTGATTTTCTGTGTATTCGTTTAGGAAGACATTTAACTTTCTAATAACGTTAAAAGATTTTCGAACAGTGCTCGATTCTTTTCGTAATCAATCTACCCATATAATTGATGGGTTGGAAAATGTTGCGTTTTTACACATTTCCTTTGATCATTTCCTCCCCTGTCGTCTAAAAGTGTCGAAGATTTTTATGAGAATATGTTTCTTTAAACAGCACAATTAAGGTCTGTTGAAGATTTAATAACTCGAATGTACGTTGTCCCATTGCACTTACTCAATTCACAGTTAACCCTAATGCAGACAACGTATTTTTCATAACACTAACAGACAGGGGGGGGGGGGGGTCAGATGCATTTAAAATTGAAACAGAACAATTACAGAATTACTTCAATTTGAATAAACGGGATTTTAAAAAGTCATATTCAGTAAGATAGTATAGATCAGTAGATCAATCTATCAATCATGTCAATGTAGCTAACAAAACGTAAGATACATATTTTCGATAAAGATCACTTGTTACTCATAAAAACCTTAATGAAATTTGAAATGAAATCATTACATTGTTTAATAATACGTATATCTAATGAATTTCAATTACAGGGACAACGTACATTCGAGTTGACAACGCACATTTCTGATTTTTTAAAATAACAATACTGTAAATACTTGAATATTTATTACTAATCTCCATCCGTAGTAAATTGTGTAGCATAGAGAAACATATTCTCATAAAAATAATCGACACTCTTAGGCAACAGAGGAAAAAATGATCAAAGGAAAAAATTCGATCAATTTTCGTGGGTAGATTGACTACAAAAAAAACACTGTTCGAAAATCTTTTAACGTTATTAGAAAGTTAAATGTCTTCCTAAACGAATTAAACATGAAATCTTTCAAGTATTCCCAAGATTAATTTTTTAAAACCTACATCACACCTGCATCATTGTCTTTGCTTCAAATCGGATAAATAGTGACATCGTGCATCTAAAGTGTACTACAGTATATTTTGTCATTGTACCTTGTCGATGGTTAGGAGTGATACTAAGATCTTTAAAATTGAATCCTTCAAAGACTGTATCATGTCCCACGTACGTAGGTAGGTGGGTATGAGGTAGGAGTTTATACAAAGCCCGTATTTCATTATGGTTAATCGAATTTTTTCTAATTATAGCAAAATCTTATTTTTACTCACTAAATCGATTCTACGTTCTGCCGACCTGTAGATCTTCACAAACAAGGAAAGCCTCCAGTACAGTCGTTTTTAATTGGATACGATAAGTTGCAGTATGAATTTCATACCCCGTTTCACCAGAAGTTGTAAAGTAATCGCTGGAGTACTTGTCATTGGATTTAGTGTCATATTATTTAGGACCCGGGGACTGAAGATTACAACAAACGAAACAGTGGGTAGAAAACGGACCGATATATCCCATTTTAGAATAAACAGCATTGTCTCAGCTGACAGCTTCAAGAAAATGGCAACCATCATTGGTAAATTCATTTTTATGTCCTCTTATGTTTGAATACTGAAATCGAACTCCAAAGCTATACCACTATTAAACCAAGGATTAATACTTGGACAGGATGATAGTATTGCTTAGTGCCATATAATTTTTGATTTTATAATTAATTTTTCAAGTCTTTTAGAATGGGCAAGGACTTTCACTTTCGAGTGTTTCCTGCTTTAACTCATCTTCAAACCTGAATGGTCGAGTAAATCTTATTGGTCGAAAGCTTCCTGTCTGATTGGTCGAGTGCTTCCTGCTAAAACTCATCTTTAAATCTCATTGGTGGAGTGCTTCCTGCTTGAATTCATCTTGACTCATGTCTAGTCTGATTGGTCGAGTGCTTCCTGCTTAAACTCATCTTTAAATCTCATTGGTGGAGTGCTTCCTGCTTGAATTCATCTTGACTCATGTCTTGTCTGATTGGTCGAGTGCTTCCTGCTTAAACTTATCTTTAAATCTGATTGGTTGAGTGCATCCTGCTTGAAATCATCTTTAAATCTGATTGGTCGTGTTCTTCTTGCTTCAACTCATCTCTAAATCTGATTGGTCGAGTGCTTCCTGCTTAAACTCATCTTTAAATTAGATTGGTCGAATGTTTCCTGTTTAAACTCATTAAATCTGATTGGTCGAATGTTTCCTGCTTAAACTCATTTTTAAATCTGATTGGTCGAGTGTTTCCTGCTTGAACTCATCTTTGAATCTGCCAGGCTAAGCCGAATCCTTCTTGCTTCAACTCAAATGATTGGCTGAGTGTTTAAGACTACTTTGAATCTTACTGTATATTTACAGATCCGTACTCGCCTAGCAAACATACACTATCCGCACAATTAAAATCACTTATAGAGACGAATAAAAATATCTACAGAAACGATTTGAAGGAGAAGCAATTTAACTCGAAGGATGAACAAAAGTTAATTAAATCAATTGAACTTGAGAACAGTGATGATGCAGGGGTATGCAGGAGTATGCTATCCGAGAGTAGAATACACCATGACGTCACGTACTTTGTGTTCCCATTCAGTTATGACCCACTGCCAATAGATGTCACTCTATCATCACATCTTACACTTAGCAGGTTTGTTGTAAAATAATTTTTGTTCTAACATAAGTAGTAACAAATAATGATATATGATGACAACATGATATAATATGACACGCTATGATACAATAGAAAGGCATGTGATTTTATTTGTTTCATTAAGTTCCGGAAGATTGGGTAAGATGTACATTCACACCCGGTGATCGTGAATATGGGACGGAGGGGGGGGGGGGGCAGGCAATTTCTGCTAGGAAATTCAACAAATCTGGAAGATTTATTTTTTCAAGAAAAAGTTTACGATTGAATTGCTAAATGGACAGGCGCACGGTATGGTAGAATATGTTAGGTTTTCTGGGATTTTTTCTGAAACGATACGCATCTAAGGCATGAGATCTATTAAAAAAGGCGCAAGGCCATCAACAGGCACAAATCAACGTTTTTGCTATAAATCAAGCAACAATGGTCTGGACGACCTGTAATAAATACTTGTAAGTGATGTTATCATAACTAAATTAATGTCATTGCTGAATTTATAAAATAAGTTTCCATATGTGAAATAAAAAATAATCGAAAATAATGAATTTGGGACGGAGGGGGAGGGGACGGAGGGGGGGGGGGAGCAATATGTATACAAGACATGATTAGAGATGTTTCGCGACTTTAAGTCCTTTTACTCCAAATGTCCCCATTTTTCAGTCTCCAGGGGTATATCATCCAGTTTCTTACTAAGTTAATGATTTCATTTTTCAAATACAAGAATTCGTGTGAAGTTGTTTCACTTTATAGAATTATTACTCCCCCCTCCGTCCCCTCCCCCCCCCTCCGTCCCATTTTAATTATTTTCGATTATTTTTTATTTTACGTATGGAAACTTATTTTATAAATTCAGCAATGACATTAATTTAGTTATGATAACATCACTTACAAGTATTTATTACAGGTCAATTCAATTTTTTATATTTCCTTTATTTCATAATACATCATACAAACAGATGCAGGGCCTACGCCGAAGCATTATTGTATTATTACAGGTCGTGTAGTCCATTGTTGCTTGATTAATAGCAAAAACGTTGACTTTTGCACGTTGGTTGCGTTGCGCCTTTTTTAATAGATCTTATATCTTAAAAGAGTATCGGTTGAAAAATAATCCTAGAATACCTAACATATTTTATCAACTGTATGCACGAAACAAAGGTGTCACTGTTACCTTTGTTCGACTCCTGAAGGAATATCACTCTCCTATCACCACAGCTTATTCCTTGAGGCTAAATGTTGTAGCAAAACACTTTCAATATATAATTGATGATCCTGCCTTTTGGCCTAAAGGTATAATTTCGAAAGAGTGGATTAATAAGAACAAAACTGTATATGAAGACTTTGATTAGTTCAAGTGTTATTGTATATATATTTGTCATTCTTTCTATGACTGCTAAACTTAACTTAATGTCATGGAATGTACAAGGCGTCATGTACAGTACGCCATATTTATGTCAGAAGTTATCTGACATTGATGTTTGTGTTATACAAGAGCATTGGCTTTATCCTTGCAATGTTAATTATCTTAATTCCATTGAATCGCATTTTTCTAGTGTTGCTGTCTGTGATAAATCACTTCCTATCGATATAGTAAATAAACGACGCGGCCAAGGTGGCGTTGGGATATTATACAGAAATTCAATTAAAAATGTTTCGGAATTAGACATTGAAAATGACAGAATCTGTGGAATAAAGATAGGTCTAGAAACTGAACCATTGTATATAATAGGGGTTTATTTACCCTGTAGTAATACGTCGATTTTTGAGTACCGTGAGTATGTTCAAAATTTGATGGATATTTGTGATATGTACAATAGTAAGGGTACTGTTATAATTGCAGGGGACTTTAATGCCCACCTATCCTCTAATATAGGGTCACGCTCTATTGGTGCTATTAACGATAGAGAAAAATGTATTGAGAATTTTATTTTTGATTCTAATCTGGTATGTGCTAATGCACAAAACCTGACGACAGGCCCTGTGTATACGTATTGTAGTTCTGATTTTGAACATCAATCATGCATTGATTTTATCATAATACCTGCTTCTAAACTGGATTTTGTGAAACAATGTGCAGTCCTTAATGATCATGACTTGATTTTATCCAATCATAATCCGATATATATGCAATTTGAATTAGAAAGTAGGTGTTTCGAAACTAGCTATAAAAGTGTTCTAAAATGGAATAATGCTAACGAAGACCAGCTCACTAGATATCGTAATATTGTTAAGAGTAAACTAAAAGAAATTAACGTTTCGAATGCACATAATCATTCTGATTTGGAAAAGTTGACACATGAAATTGTCGATTGTTTAAATGATGCAGCAGACCTTGCGATACCTAAATCTCAATTTCACCACTTTTTGAATCCTTTTTGGAAATATGGTGCAGTTAAAAATCTTCATGTATCAATGCGACAGTTTAGACGCATTTGGATCTCCGCAGGACGACCAAGAAATCATAACAATGTAGCTTTAACACAATATAAAAATGCAAAACGTCTCTTTCGTGCAGAACTGCGGAAGGCTAAAATAAATTATGAACGTAATCTTGATTCTAAATTTGACAAAGCTGCTGAGCTCAACATAAATGATTTCTATCGTCTGGTTAGGAAATCCAGAAAACTTAAAACAAATTCGCACGAATTACTAGTTGATGGAACAATATTTAGAGATCCATGTCTAATTAGGGACGCATGGGCAGATCATTTTGAGATGTTAGGGACTCCCAAACAGTTTCCACATTTTGATAATGACTTTATGCGAAATATTGAAACTGAGTTCCAACGCAATTACAAAGAATCATTTTCAAACCATGATACTACCTTAATTAATCCTATCGTTACTCAGGAAATACATGATATTATTGTACATAGTCCTAATAACAAAGCTCCTGGTTTAGATATGGTAACTAATGAACATCTTAAAAACGGTGGTAGCATGTTAGTTAAGGTGATCACTGACCTATTCAATGCAATGATTAGGCTAGAATATGTCCCGCAAAACCAAAAAATTGGCGTCATTATTTCATTGTACAAGGGCAAGAAAAAAGATAAATTAATCAGGACAAACTATAGAGGACTTACACTCACCTCTGTTATTAACAAACTTTGGGATACTATTCTCTTGGAAAGGAATATGCATATCTTAAAATGTGCAAATGTTCCGCACAGATTGCAATTTGCCCATAATGGCGGGAGTCAAATGGCCACATTCGTTTTTAAAGAAATAGTAGCTCATTTCCAAGAGAGAAACTCTCCCATTTTCACAGCCATGCTTGATAATCTCCAAGCTTTTGACTTATTGTACAGAAATGGACTTTTTGTAAAATTATATAAACTTGGAATTAACTCAAAAGCTTGGAGACTCTTTGTCAAATCGTATAGCGACACGAAAGCTAGAATTCTATATGATGGGTCATACTCCCGTGAAATTACTATTAATCAGGGCTGTGGTCAAGGTAGAATTTGCTCATCGCTCTGGTTCATGGTATATATTGATGACCTTATAAAAGAATTATGTGATTCTGGCCTTGGAGTCGCACTAAGCGATGACTTAATAATGCCATGTATCCTAGTAGCGGATGATACTACAGTAGTAATAGTCCGAGTAAATGATAATGCAATTTTAGGCACCAAATCAGGCACGAACTTTGACCCCAGACGATTGCCGAACGTTTAGTGACGTCAGAGTTTAACCTCCATGGATGACTGTAATCTGATTGGTTGGATCACTCCTCAACATTTCCTGATGATGAAATATGGGCTTTCCCAACGAACTTTGACCTCAGACGATTGCCGAACGTTTAGGGACGTCAGTCTGCGTTTTCCGATCGTTCATACGATTTCAAAAACATTTTTGTGACGCAAAAGTTGATTTCCGTGGATGACTGATTGGTCGCTTGACTTCCGGAGTGAGGTCAGTGTGAATTTTCTCGGATGAGACGCTCTGATTGGTCAAATACGAAAAACCAACATCCTACCAACGTTTCTCGAACGTATTCTCCGACGCCGGGTGAAATACAAGATTTCCTACACCCCCGCAGTTCCAACGCCCCCATCTCTGCTCATCTAGGACCTATTGAATGAGAATGTTCAACGTTTTTCGAACGTATTCTCCAACGCTAGATGAAATACGAGATTTCCTACACTTCCCTAGCTTCCATAGCCCCGACAAACTATGGACTTTACTTTATACATTCTAAAATTAGGCAATGGATCAAAGTCGTAAAGCTAGGCATGCGAAATTCTCTGTCATTTTTAAAGACATAATAGGATACTTTTGCTTTGATTTTGAATAGGCAAAACGTTTGTAATGCGTTTTAGAGTATTCGCTTCGTCATGTATTCTCTAAACTATTGATGTATAAGCTAGCTAAACACATAAACTATTTGATCATTCTTGGCATATATCTGAAGATTAATTACTGAAATGTGACTATTTAGGTCCCAGTTCTCAGTTCAAAATCATTAAAATAAGTATATAGTCTCACAACAACGGGACAATAATGTGTTATAAAGTTCTGAAGAAATCTGATATTTTACAAAAATAAAGAATCTTTAACGAAGTGGCGAGATTCATGTAGAAAAGAATCAAGACAATTCTTTCACATATGACTACTTAAGATGTATTGTTGTTTAGACTCGATAAAATGGAAGATACTTACTTAAATTTTACAAGCAATAGTCAGCGTTTCTATGGATTGAAAATCCCTATAGTGAAATGGATATATGTACATTAAATGACACGGGAAATTACAGCAAACATTAAAAATATAGTTCTTCGTATGTACACTACATGCTCGGATTTTTTTGTTTTTCTTAGCGTAGTATGGGAAATACCATCACAACAGGAAATCTGGAGGTCAAAGCAACCCACATTAACATAATACGACAGCCTACGTCACTCAATGTCTATCCTGGCTGTTTTGCCCATCCAGGCAATGCTTTCACAGAGTTAACTTCCGCAATGATATAATAGATGTCAGTGTGATTAAGTGCA